ACCAACACGAAAAAACTATTTACCCCAAAAAAAAACCTTGGTTGCAACACTTCCCGCAACCATACAACACAACCGCAGCGTCTCCCGTGAACCATAACCACGTAGCGCAACTCCGGCGCCCCCCGCGGACCGCCAACAAAAAAGACAACCCGCGGCACCCCCCCACAAACCGCCAACACGCAGCGCAACTACGGCATGGGCCAGAACCCCATCAGGGAGCGCATAACCGTGACACCCCCCCCCCCCCCCCACGAGAGCCAATAACACAAGCCAAACAATATCCACAACCCCCCCGAATCCCACCTTACAAGGGAGAGTCCGCCTTTACCAGAACATAGCTCACGTGAGCCGGTCCTCGACATTGGTCACCCCCACCTTGGCAGGGTTTTGCATTCCTTGAGATTCTAGGAATGGGAACAAAAAAACAATGGCCTAAGGGCACGGCCCCTCCCTGAAATCCCCAGTAGCATCTAATCAGATCCAGCCCCTGACACTTTGCACACGGCAGTCACGGAAAGCATCAGAGACTCGGATCCAGTGCAGCTTGGGAACATGTTGCCGGCAGGTCAGAGTGCTACAGTGGCACTGCCGGCACCCTGCTGACACCCCGGCATTCTATGGCGATGTGACTCGGCTGACCACACCTGAAACACTTGGCCGTGGGACCCCAGGGCGGAGGGGGCTTCCCCGGTTGCCAACCCACCTGCGGGGGCCTTCTCCCGTGCGTCCCCAGGCCGCACACCACAGCCACCATGTCCTCCTCCCGCCACGGCCAAACCTCCACTTTGGGCCAATGCTGGCGGGCCTCGTGGCCCTGCATTTTCCGGGCCACATTGAAGACGTGATCCCCCAAGCCTTCCACGAAGGGCAGGACGATACCCGACTCCCGCGCCAGCAGTCTTTCCACCGCCAAGGAGTCGAGCGCCATCTCACCCGTCTGGGGGTACGCGGTCTGCCCCAGCACCAGCAGCGCCTCCCGGAAAGTGAAGGGTGTCTCGGCTTCCCCTCGCTTCTACTGGAGAAATCTCGTGCGGGAATTGCACGGGAGGCCAAAAATATCCCCTTGCAGCGCCATTAACTCCGCCGCCCCTCCAGCGCTGTCCCACGCTCTTCGCAAAATAGCGCCCGCCAGCCATGCCAAGCCCTCCACGGGCAAAATGGCACCCACCACATGCGCGGTCTCTGGCCCAGGCTCCTCCACTCTCTCACAGAGATGGGGATCGCCGCCAGGGTCCCCTCGTGACTCTTTTACACGCCGCTGGCTGTGGAGCGACTCCCGCGCTTCCCCGCGCTCCCCTCAACACGGTGGTCCTCGGCCATGCCGCGTGCTCGGCGCATGACCGCGGAGGATTGGGCTCCTCTCTCGCCAATTTTCGCCACTCTCCCGCCGATCCGCAGCCGCTCTCTCTCCGCCAATGGGCTTCGTAACCGGGTTCCCGTGGCTGCCGGAGAGATTAATGTTTCGCCATTCCCATCCTCCGATGACACTATAGGTGTATTCTTTCTTCACCCCACTCCTAACACCAGTTGTAGTGTCATCGTTGCGGGAGACAAGGTTTCTAAGGGGGCACCTTTATTAATACCTTCACAGGTTTGCCATCGCACTCCCTCGTCGTCAAACCTAGCATAAACACAACCCTGACCATGTAACACCAATGGCGCTGACCGAGACAGCAAACAACTATCCGGCCGTGCAATATCTAGCGAAGACGGCATTGACGAAGACGGCATTGACGAAGGCAGCGAAGATGACAGCCACGACGAGATGAGCCCACTCCCAAAACTGACAGCCCTGAGCTCCCACTCTCAGCTGCTTTTATGCTACCCAGTGCGGCCTGACTCCGCCCTGGCTGCGCCTCCCTTCTCGAACCCACTAGCAGGTTCCCGGAGCTTCCAGATGGAGTCTTCCGTGACCCTTGCCCCAGTTTTTCTGCCCTGCCGACTAACCCGTGTATATGCTCACTGGCGTGTGTACTATTTGTCCACCACAGTTGCCGTTGCTGTATAATAGTCGGCGTTATTACACTACACTAGTACAGCACACCGGTGTGTTGGAGAACAAATCGCGAAGTGGAAGGTTTCACCAAACATTGAAATTAACGCGATCTAATTATGGGCAATTAAGCTCCATATGAATGCAAATATTATCATAATATAGTGAATGCTTGGGAGCTTATTGGCTCTTACTCCTGGTTAGATATGTACCCAACCCATAGGTCCACAAATACTGGCTGCTCTTACTCTGCAGGTTAAACCTAGGAATTGAGTGTTCAACTTCTCATTATTTCATAAAAGACCTGTGACAAAGGTGAATCTATTGGAGCTTCATTGTCTCAAGCTTACACATCTACGGGGTCTCCATTTGACTTTGTATTGCCTAAGAAGTCCAGCCACACCTCCACTTCCACAAACTGCTGGGAGTTGCCTCGCTCTGCATCAGTCAGAATTCTCCTCCTGCTACATGTTGCCCCCATCGATGTGAAGGTCCGATTTTGGAGTTGAATCTTCATCTTCATATTGTACCGTCAATTCTTCGGTCTTCACTGCCGCATCTTCACATTTCACCTTCGCATCTTTAAATTTCACCTTGATACATTTTAAAGTGTCCAAGCTGGGATTTTCTTGTAGTTCTTATTATTAAGGATGGGCGCCTTGCAGCACTTTTGACTTTCACAAGCCGAATTTAGACTCTGCTCCTTGGGAATCTTCTGATGGCTGTGTTGTCTGGTGATTTTCAAGAGCAGGTGAACCTGAAAATGCCTTCCCACACACACTGCACATGAAGGGTGTCTCCCGTGTTTGTTCTCTGGTGGATCTGAAGAACTGATGACCATGCAAATGCCTTTCACAGACAGTACTTTCTTTGGTGTTCTTTTAGTCTCATTAAATAATCTCAAACACAACTGTCGGCAGTGGCAGAGCATACTTGTCAAAGACATTCAATTGATTTCGATAACGTTGAAGTGTTGTGTAAAACTAATTATTACTGGCCAAGACTAATTAGATAATCCATTGAAATTGAGCGAAATACAAGTAACTTTAATCGCTCTAACAGCTACAGGCTTAGTGCGGCCTGGAAGCATATTATTTTAAAAAGTATATATTACAATTCCCATTCCTTATAGGGGAAACAAATAGCAATTAACAACAATTGAATGATTACCAATCTCCTTATACGTATGTAGTGCCGTAAATGGGCCAAACTTACCGGCAGTGGTAGACGAGGTCCATCTGCAAGGGTGCCCCGTACCGCGAAGGGGGGGGGGGGGGGCTGCGGGGGATCTATGATCCCACGCAACGCCACCCCTTGATGGGCAAAGGGACATTAAAGGGGACCTCCCCAGTCGATCGGGACCAGTCACAGCTCAAGACCCAAGACCAGCCAGCTTAGGACCCTGGACCCCCTCGCCCCGCTTGTCCTTGTAAGGGCCGGCACGCTGTGCGGGCAGTGGTGGGACTCTGGGACTTCTGGCTCTACGTCCTTGTAAGGGCGAGTTCCGAGGAAGCCAGAGTCGAGACCCACACCTTGGCTGGGTCGGGTCAGGGAGCCTCCCCTAGGGTAATTGTAGCCGGAGGACCCGAGAGCGTAGCCAGAGTAGGCTGTGTCCCTAGGCTGTGTCCCTAGGTTGTAACAGAGGACTGTTGGAGTGTGGTATCGTAATAAAGAAGTGACGTCTACAAGTGTCTCCGGAACCCATTACACATAAAAGGCAAAGTTGTGATTATGTGTGTCTGTTCAAAATGTTTAGCGTACTTCCCGATATGCAACAAACTTGCCATGTGGGTACTTTCCAGACTGTACACACTTTTTTTGGGGGGGAGCATATATTTTTTGCACGGTGAGCTGACATCAAATCTGTCATGTGACCCGCGCATGTGGAAGCGTAACGCATTGTAGTGTAGTGGTTAGTGCGCTGCGCTACGAACCTGGCGACCAGAGTTTGATTCCTGCTCACGGCCACTACCGGTGACGATAATTTGAACTGGTCCTGGGCCTCCCCTAGGTCGACTCAGCCTCAAACGAGTAACTGGTATGGTGTGTGAACATCGCCACTGGGGAGACAAAGGCGGCCAGGCGTAGTGAATCCAAGTCCCGGGCGAAGCCAGGTAGTAAAGCTAGTCAATTATATAATTACAATACCCTCCCTGTCTCGAATCGCTGCACCAGATTGAGCTAAAAGATGACGTCACCCTGTTGCTCCATTTAAGACCGGGAGCGAGTGGAGGGCCTCACCATTCTGGCAAATTGCCCGATGATGCTGGATGTAATTACCAGCGAAATGTTGTACTCAAAATTTTAAATGATGTTGAATCACTCAGCACACCGGTGGTGGGCTAAAGTAGTGAACTATTTGTCTTGGTAAAAATACGCGACATATTTTTTACTGTTTGGCAGTGTCGGGTGGTGGAGGGTTACGACATATTTGACTAATATTGGTCGCGAAAGCCTACGTGTTAAACTGACCATGTACTGTGTTAGCTACTGGAAGACAAAGGCGGTTGGCGAGGCTCTGATCCCGTGGAATACATATTATCTTGGTCGCGTGATTGACATATTTCGCATTATCTCTTCCGAATGACCCTAGGTCTAATACTTTCATAATTACTTGGTTCATGCTTAACCAAGATTTGTGGTATACCATAGTTGTTACCAAGGATATTAAGAGGGTTTAATTAATGTTCCCAGTCTGTATTGCCGGGGATTCGTGCTTCTTATTCTCAAGTTATATTTTGATATCCTGAGGTTGAAGATATAGCTAAGCTTCAAACCTTACTGTTGTATTTTTAAAAACCCCAGTTAACTCGTAATGATTAACTGCCCTTGGGTGAATTTCGCTGTCCAAGGGAGGTTCATGACCCCTGCTGTTTTCGTCTTTTGTTTTATTGTGGGGGTTTTCCTTTATGGTGGCCTTCTCTTGAAGTCAACTGGGGATTTCCCGCAGAATCTCATTAGCCCCCCCCCTTGGGTTTGCCATTTTTTATTACATTTTATGACTTCCAAAACAGGCTTATGAGTAATTATCCTCCAGCTGTCTTTTGCGTGGCAAGGCAGGAGGCAGGGGGGGAGACTCACCCTTTCCGTGCCCCAGCACTACATCCCGATCAAAATTATTAGAAAACAATAGAGAAAATCACTCAATTTAATTTTATGGAAAAGGCATATATACAACATGTTCTTCGAGTGTTTGTGATGAGATGATACAAAACAACTGAGTTGCTGAGGCGATTAAGCAACCACCATATAAATGCAAAAATTATTATAACATAGCATAACATAGAGAATGCTTCAGAGCTTATTGGTTCTGGCTCCTGGTTAGAGATCTACCCAACCCACAGGTCTGCAAATACTGGCTGCTCTTACTCTGCAGGTTGAACCTAGGAATTGAGTGTGCAACTTCACGTTATTTTAATTAAAGGCCTGTGACAAAAGTGCATTTATTGGAGCTTCATTGTCTCAAGCTTACACATCTACCGGGTCTCCATTTGACTTTGTATTGTCTAAGAAGTCCACCCACACCTCCACTTTCACAAACTCCTGGGAGTTGCCTCGCTCTGCCTCACAGTCAGAATTCTCCTCCTGCTTCACGTTGCCTCCATCGATGTGAAGGTCCAATTTTGGAGTTGAATCTTCATCTTCACATTTTACCATCGCTTCTTCGCTCTTTACCATCACTTCTTCACATTTCACCTCTTCAAAATCCACCTTGATACATTTCATTGTGTCCAAGCTGGAATTAAATTCTGGTTCTTTTTTCAGCAGGGATGGGCTCATTGCAGCACTTGGACTTACACAAGCCGATTTCAGACTCCGCTCCTTGGGGATCTTCTGATGCCTGTGTGTTCTCTGGTGTCTTTGAAGATTTGATAACGTTGCAAATGCCTTCTCACACACAGTGCACTTGAAGGGTTTCTCTCCTGTGTGCGTTCTCTGGTGTATTTTAAGATGTGATGACCCTGTAAATGCCTTCTCACACACAGTGCAATTGAAGAGGTTCTTTCCTGTGTGCGTTCTCTGGTGTGTTGTTAGATGTGATGATCGTGCAAATGTCTTGTCACACACAGTGCACTTGAAGGGTTTCTCTCCTGTGTGCGTTCTCTGGTGGTCGTGAAGATCTGATGACCGTGCAAATGCACTTCCACATACAGTGCACTTGAAGGGTTTCTCTCCTGTGTGTGTTCTCTGGTGTATTTTAAGACTTGATGACTGTGCAAATGCCTTCTCACACATAGTGCACTTGAAGGGTTTATCTCCTGTGTGCATTCTCTGGTGTATTTTAAGACTTGATGACTGTGCAAATGCCTTCTCACACACAGTGCACTTGAAGGGTTTCTCTCCTGTGTGCGTTCTCTGGTGGTCGTGAAGATCTGATGACCATGCAAATGCACTTCCACACACAGTGCACTTGAAGGGTTTCTCTCCTGTGTGCGTTCTCTGGTGCGTTTTTAGATATGATGACTGTGCAAATGCCTTCTCACACACAGTGCACTTGAAGGGTTTATCTCCTGTGTGCGTTCTCTGGTGGTCATGAAGATTTGATAACGTTGCAAATGCGCTTCCACACACAGTGCACATGAAGGGTTTCTCCCCTGTGTGCGTTCTCTGGTGTGTTTTTAGATGTGATGACTCTGTAAATGCCTTCTCACACACAGTGCACTTGAAGGGTTTCTCCCCTGTGTGTGTTCTCTGGTGGCTCTGAAGATTTGATGACTGTGCAAATGCCTTCTCACACATAGTGCACTTGAAGGGTTTCTCTCCTGTGTGCGTTCTCTGGTGACTCTGAAGATGTGATGACTTTGCAAATGCCTTCTCACACACAGTGCACTTGAATGGTTTCTCTCCTGTGTGAGTTCTCTGGTGCTGTGTCAAACTTCCAGTACGATCCGTGCTGTTTGCATACTGGTCGCATTGTTTCCTTCTTGTACCGAGCTGCGCCAAGTCCCTTTGCTCCATCAGACCAATTCTGCAGAGGAAGAGTCAGAGGAAGCGTCAGCTGCAGACAGAAAAACACATCCACACCATCTACGTCAGTATCAAGGCACAGATGAATGCATAAATACACAGTCACACATGACTTAAACATCTATACTTATTAATATTTTCATGATATAGTGAAAATAATTCCCCAATTCATCACGCGGGCTGTTAAGGCACACAATGAGAGGGCCAATGGTCATAAATATGACTGGACACCCTAGTGCAGGGGTCCTCAAACTACGGCCCGCGGGCCACATGCGGCCCGCCGAGGACATTTATCCGGCCCGCCGGGTGTTTTTGCCGCCGCTGCCTGTCTGTTACTTTTTTTCTGCATGAGAAGGACGGTCATTGGTGGAAGAGGGAGAGGGGGCGGAGTTCCCCCCAATCAGACTGCATTGATAGGCAGTGCAGTCTGTATGTCTCTGTGTGGGCAAAGTTATTGCTGGTATATTGTTTTTGTAGCGCTGTATATATATTGGTATTTTACTAATAGCAATTTTGACTCCCTAGGAAACAATGATGTCAAGAAAGAGAAAAAATGACTCGGAGTGTAGGATATTCAAAGAACAGTGGACTTATGATTACTTTTTCATGCAGTACAAGGAAAGAGCTGTGTGTCTGATATGCCAGAATATAGTGTCTGTGTTCAAAGAATACAATTTACGTCGACACTATGAAACTCAACATGAAGATAAATATGCTTGTTTGGTCGGAGAAGTGAGAAAAGATAAAATATTAAAACTGAAAAATACATTAACAACTCAGCAAAATACTTTTGTGAAGCAGAAGCAGCTAAATATTTCATCACTGCGAGCAAGTTTTCAAGTTGCCAAGCTAATAGCGTGCACTGGCAGACCATTCGTGGAGAGAGAATTTGTTAAAGAATGCCTTCTTTCTGTTGCCAAAGAGATGTGTCCAGAGAAGGTCGATTTATTTAGTACAGTGAGTCTTTTAGGACCTACAATTACACGGAGGATTGATGAAATGGGAGACAATTTGCATCAGCATTTGCAAAACTCCACAAAAAAACTTTCCTATTTTTCCTTGGCACTCGACGAAAGCAATGATGTTCGTGATTCTGCACAACTTCAAATTTTTATTCGTGAGACGAATGACTATTTCGAAGTCACAGAAGAGCTTGCTGCACTGCAAAGCATCAAAGGAACAACTACAGGCGGGGTATCTTTCGATTTAAAGCTTTCGTGACTGCAGGGATTCATCTTCTTGGTTCTTTCGGTAAAGTCACATAGAAGGGAAGTAATAAAATAATTCTCACGACGTTTCGGCCACAACGCAAGCAGCCGTTCTCAGGTGAAAACCAGGTCTGTTGGGGAGACGGCGTCTGAATGAAACAGCACACGAGCTTGGAGCATATATAAGCTGGGTTGGAAGCAAGGGAAAGAGCGCCTTGACAAAAGAATTTGCATATCAAGAGGAATTTAGCATATTTATGGGAAATGCAGGAATGTGATTAGTACTACATATGCCCGTGCTGCATATGTAGTGCTAATAACATTCCTGCATTTCCCATAAATATGCTAAATTCCTCTTGATATGCAAATTCTTTTGTCAAGGCGCTCTTTCCCCCGTTTCCAACCCAGCTTATATATGCTCCAAGCTCGTGTGCTGTTTCATTCAGAAGCTGTCTCCCCGACAGACCTGGTTTTCACCTGAGGACGGCTGCTTGCATTGTGGCCGAAACGTCGTGAGAATTATTTTAATATGTTTTATTTTTATTATTTTATTACTTCCCTTCTACGTGACTTTACCGAAAGAACCAAGAAGAGAGGATATCTATGAAAAGGTTTGCCAAACTGTGAATGGTTTGGAGCTGAACTGGGCTAAACTAGCCAGTGTGACAACTGATGGTGCTCCTAGCATGGTGGGGTCTAAGAAAGGAGTAATTGCTAGCATTAACCAAGAGATGGACAAACATAACCATTCTCATCCAATAGCCATACATTGCCTCATCCACCAACAAGCGCTGTGTAGTAAATCACTGAAGTGGGACTCTGTTATGAAAATTGTGGTATCTTGTGTTAACTTCATTAGAGCTCATGCACTAAACCACAGACAATTTCAGGAATTTCTGTCTGAGCTAAATGTTGACTATGAAGATGGTTTGTATCACACAGAAGTCCGTTGGCTGAGTCGAGGGAGAGTTTTGAAACGTTTCTATGACTTACTTCCACAGATTACAGCTTTTCTGCTTTAAAAAAACAAAGAAGTACCAGAGCTCAATGATGCAGAATAAAAATGGCACATTGCCTTTCTGACAGATGTAAGAGAGCTACTCAACAGTTTCAATGTGCAACTTCAAGGAAAGGGGAAGCTCATCTGTGATATGCAATCACATGTCAAAGCATTTGAAGTAAAATTAGGCCTCCTCATCAAACAAGTGAAGGAGGAAAACTTCTGCCATCTCCCCACAACTCAAAATCTGTTAGCGGAAAAACCATTGGTTGCATTTCCAAACAAAACATGTGGATTCACTGGAAAAATTGCAAAAGGAGTTCCAATTTGGATTTAAAGAGCTTCATCTCCATGAACAGGACATACAGCTTTTCCGTAACCCATTTTCTATTGACATTGAAAATGTGGATACAATTTACCAAATGGAACTGGCTGAACTGCAGAATTGTGACTCTGAAAGACGCATTCAAGTCAAGCAGCCTTCATAATTTCTATGCATCTCTCCCCTCTGAGACATATCCTCATCTCAGGAACCATGCACTCAAAATGGCAACCATCTTTGGCAGCACTTATGTCTGTGAACAGAATTTTTCCAGAATGAAACATTTGAAAACTCCAACCAGATCTAGACTAATGGATGCACACTTGCATCACTTGTTACGACTAGCAGTGACAAATATGGAACCGGACATTGACCATCTCATTAGCCAAAAGCAGGCCCATAGTTCCCATTGAAATACTGGCAAGTTTGTTGATTTAACTTTACTTCTTCATTTTAAATATTGTATTTGTTCCCGTTTTGTTTCTTCACTTCAAAATAAGATATATGCAGTGTGCATAGGAATTTGTTCATAGTTTTTTTTAACTATAGTCCGGCCCTCCAACGGTCTGAGGGACAGTGAACTGGCCCCCTGTTTAAAAAGTTTGAGGACCCCTGCCCTAGTGTCTTCAAAATGAATGTTTACCAAAAACTCCAAGCACACAATTTCGGTTGTCTAGCTACGACAGGAATATTTATTTAAGAAAAAGTAGCTAACATAGCAAAGGCTGTTGAAAAGAATATTATTTGTATTATGCAGAAATGTATAAATTAATGTTCATTTGCAACTTAGAGGTGTGAAGCCAGGCTCAGATGAGCTTGAATGCGAGGATGAACAGATCTAACTTCAGCTACATATGTGCAGTGTTAATTTCCTGACTGTTTCCATTCTTATAAAATCTTGTTCTGTACCTGTTGAATTCCATGACAAAATGGGGCCTTGCATATGTTCTACAAAAAGATCACCTCAATGGAAAAATCTTGACTTAAAACTTGTGATAGCGGGAATTCATATTCTTTGGCTATTTCGGTAAAGTCACGTATAGAAAATAATAATACGAATAAAGTGAATAGAAGAAAAAAACGACTAATGTAGACTGTAGCCTGGTTCTTAACATCGGTGAGCGTACTGGCAGTCTATAATGTTGACTGTAGCCTGGTTCTTAACCTCGGTGAGTGAATTGGCAGTCTATAATGTAGACTATTGCCTGTTTTTTTGACGAGACCTTTGCAATGGACAAGACCTTTGCAATGGACTAGACCTTGGCAATGGACACTCACAGCTTTGTACGTAAAAAAGTCCAGGCAGCTTCCACATAGTGTTACAGAGCCTAATGAAAGAATGCTGCTAGACTAATTTGAAGTGAGACTTTGGATGTCAAACCAGAGCTGGTCGTGAACACATTAACGAGGTATAGGAGCTCCTCAACCATGTGTAGAACGACCTGATTATTCATGGAGAGCTGAGCAGGTGCAGTGCTGTATGACATTAAATTCCCAGGGAGGTGTTCTTTGGGTCTTTCGGTAAAGTCACGTCACTTAACCGAAAGACCCAAAGAATATGAATTCCTGCAGTTACGAAAGCTTTAAGTCAAGATTTTCCCAAGGAGGTGATCTTTTTGTAGAACATATGCAAGGCCCCATTTCGTCATGGAATTCTCCAAGTACAGAACACGATTCTCCAATTTAATATCATTGAATAGCCATGACCAGATCATCAACATGCGTAACATGGTTGACCAGCAGGGGACAATCCTTTGACTATAACCAGGCATCGATTAGCGTATCATTGTTACTGTATGAAATGAAATTTTTTATAGGGCCATTGTGAGCTTCTCAAAACACATTATTTGAAAATGCTACGTAATGTAATGCATGGGGCCAGAGAGAATTTCAGCCACAAGCCAAATTGAACAGGAAAGGGCCCTGACTCCTGGTCACGCAGCTTTAGACGGGCCTGCCTAAAATCATAAAAATCCTCAACGAATGTGAGCATAGGTAGAGATATCTAAAACTAAAAATAATCCAAAACCCCAAGCCTCTTTATGGTACTATAGGCCGTAATTACACCAAGTAAGCAGAGATTTAGTTCCTGCTGAAAATCCGTACTCCTGTGCTATAGATGATGGACAAAAAATACAGCAGCCCCTTGAATAGCGCAGAGGTTACATTCTTGGAAAGTGCCGTGTGAAAGGTAAAATGGCGATATTCAATACTTAAGCCTTACCTAAATAATGGGGTGAGGTTAACGGCAACTAAAATATACATCACATTTTAAATAAGTACTGTACTGTATTCCCAATAAACTAAATTACTGAAATAAATGTGGAGAAACCGTATACAAAACATTCCAAGATGAGTATAAATGTATATAAATAAAGCAGACTTACTGTATTTTTTTGAGAACCAAATTGCGCCAACACAATGAAACATACACACATCAAAAATTCCATGCGTACTCAAGGGTAAGTTATTATGTTTTTCACGCAATTTTTAGCTTACCTGTTCACCTTCAACACCTGTTACCCCTGCACACTCCAACACCCCGCTGCTGCTATATTTTTCTCATTTACCACATTATCCTTACATATTATCAGGCCTGCATTTTGGCCACAAAATTCATTAACTTCCGGCTCCTTACTGTCCTTTCTACACATGCACGGCTCACCTCTAATATACTGCAATATTTTATCATGGGACCTTTGCCAGTACCAAAATATGAGAATAGGTTTTCCCCATTTTTCTGGCAACGAAACAGGTGTTAAGATGTTAAAACACCAAACTGAAACATTTTACAAGGAATCATGTGTGCATTAACCACAATACTTGTGGTCAGAATGCAAACAAAAACACTCTGATAGAAAATGCATGGACTACTGCTGAGGCAGACTGTTGTAAAAGGTTTGAAATGGGTGTAGCCCAAGGGTCATAAAGAAGTGGCCGGGGCTAGTGATGTTAATGTAATAAATTAGCATGTTAATGTGAAATCGAAGAGTAGTGCAATCCAAAGCGGCCTCCCTACAAGACAGAAAAGGAGCGAGGCTCTACCTGGGTAAACAACAACTACCACCATGACAACAATAACCACGATGTTAACTTCTCACTTCGGATCTCAGTGAGCGCGCACGAAAATAAATCACGCTTGCTAACACAAAGCGCACGCCCGGGATACACTGCCGAGATCATCGATGACCTTGCCGCCGAGAAAGTTCAGCAGCATCTGACAAGCACAACGGGGTGGCAGCCAGATGCGAACTGCCCATATCCCCCATTTAACACCCTTGCCGAGCACGCGTGTGTGCGAGAGATTTGCTCGCGAGCGTGCGGAATTCCGACGGCTGGGACGGGATAGAACCATTGCAAGTCTTCTTCCAGAGGAGGAGGTGAGGGGGGGGGGGGGGACGAGGGAGCCTCCGGGATCCCGTGAGACAACCCCAGGATGGGTGGCAGGGATACAGACCGGCATAGGAGATTTCACAGGCCATGAGACCCAAGTACGCGAGGAGGTAACCCAAGTATGCGGGGAGGTGACCCAAGTACACCTGAATGTGACCAAGCTGCAGTCCACAGCGGAGATAGTCCAGTCCGAGGTGGGAGGGCTACGCTCCATGGTCGGGGGGCTAACCAGGCGAGTATCTCAATAAGAGGCAGAACTCGAACAAATGCGCACTTGGGAGGGTAAGGGGAAGTAGGCAAGGGGCCTCTTATGGAGCCACCGCCCTTCCCCGTGCGTGCTATCTATGCGACCAATGGGGGCATCTCGTGAGAGACAGTTCCCAGATCGCCCGCGCGAGAGAAGCACCAGGGTTAAACACCAAGGCCTCCCTAAAGAGGGGACCACAGAGGGGTGCAATCCACGTGGTTCCAACACAAATAAACTGTCATGATAATGGTGACGAGTGACCCCCACGCAGATGCCGACAACAACACCCCAGAATGCGGCGACTGCGGGTGACCGGTTGCGGGAGCTGGTGGCAGGAATAATGGGGGCCACGTCGCTCGTGGAAGGGCAGGTGAACAGGCGGCGTACCCAGATTCTGCTGGACACGGGGGGCGTTAACGTCACTCGTGAGTGCAACACACTGCAGCGTGGTCGGGGTTGACGTCAGCCGCCGACAGGCCCCGGATCGTGCGCTGCAGACTGTAAGTGGAATGGGACTGCTGGGGAAGGTCACCCTTAAGGGTCGCCTCGGACACCAGGTGTGTAACCAGGAGTTATACGTGTCGAGCGTGTTATGCCACGAGTATATTGCAGGTACCAACCTCCTGGAAAAGTTGGGGCTCAACGTGCAGCCCCGCCGGCGATGCGCCACCGTGGAGGGCAGCGGGGAGCGGATTCCTTTCTTGGGACAAGAGCCGGGTTGCCCTCGCTTCGAGCCCGTGGCCGCTATCCTGGCGTCGGCCGTCACCGTCGGCATTGGTGTTCCACTGGGTTTTCCGTTTTTCTCCCAAACCTAAACTCAAAATATAGTTGGTGGTAGTCAAACAGTCCAATGCAGGACCCTCCTGAAACATAATCTTTAACTGCTAAATAAGAAATTAAATTGAAAAACCCTCAAACATAGTACAATATTTTTATTTTACCAGGTGAGGCCCACTGAGCTGCATAGCTCTTTTTCAGAATCGACCTGGACACAAATGATAGCTCAACTTAGTGGGTTATAATATGGAAATGTTTTGCAGCAAAATTCTCAAAATGCATGTTTCTAAATGTGGAGAAAAATCAATGCCACTACAGGGAGAGAGAGAAAAAATAAAAAATGTAAACTGCAATTATAAATGCGTCAGGGTTGGAATCGAACCGACGACATTCTGCATACCATGTGAGGTAGTTGACATCTTGCCACCCTAGTACAATATATCACACACAAACAAATAACAGTGAAACCTTGGATAAGCCACTTTTTTGTGAGCTGGTCGCTTCTGAAAACAAGAGCGCTATAGCAGCTGAAGTCGGCTTGACCTGGTAGGATAAAAAAAACTGTAGAAATATTTTAAAGAAAAAAAATTCAAAGTAGTCAGCCAGATGAAGACAAATTCAACTTAAGCAGAGAATTAAAGCAAATGCAATCAGGCGAGGGCAGGAGGCAAGGCCCCGCATGGCTAGGCCCCGCGTTGTAATGTTCAAACCTGGACATCGATTCCATACTCGCTGCTACTCAATTGATATCCCTACGAGAGGAGCGAGGCTCTACCTGGGTAAACAACAACAACAACCACCACAACAACAACCACCACGATGTCAACTTCTCACCTCGGATCTCAGTGAGCGCGCGCGCTGTGCAACAGCTTCCGGATATATCGTGACGTCACGCGGTAGCAGGAGGTGACATGACGTCACTAGCGGGGTTCATCACACAATCCCCTCCCCCAACAAGCAGCTGTGTAATTGAATAAATTATGTTAATGAGCCGGTCCCACGTGGGGTGATTGGGCTTGGCTACTGAACCCGTCGCAATGAAATAGCGACGGTTTTCATGAATAAATTATGTTATAGAACCGCCAGTCAAAATCGCGGTGGAGGGGGTGGGATTGAATATCTTGGTTACATGACGTCACTAACGGGGAACAGCTTTCCCTGGCGTCTCACGCCGACGAGTTAATGAGCGGTGACGTCACTGTGTGTGTGTAAACTGTGTGTGTGTACACTGTGTGTGTACAAACTGTGTGTGTGTACCCTGTGCGTGTACAAACTGTGTGTGTGTACCCTGTGCGTGTACACTGTGTGTGTACAAACTGTGTGTGTGTATCTTCTTGGTTCTTTCGGTAAAGTCACGTAGAATGGAAGTAATAAAATAATAAAAATAAAACATAACAAAACAATTCTCACGACGTTTCGGCCACAACGCAAGCAGCCGTCCTCAGGTGAAGAATGAGACAATGCCAAGCTAGGAGCTTATATATAAGCTGCGTTGGAGGTGGAAGAAAGAGCGCCTTAACAAAAGAATGTGCATATGAAGAGGAATTTAGCATATACATGGAAAATGCGTAGGAGGTGGGCGGGGGGGGTTCAAAGTCATATTATGCCCATGCATTATGCAGGATCAACGGCACCAAGGGGGGGTGCAGGGATTAGCAGTAACAAAGGAAAGGAATGTTAATGATATGTAGCTGCAGTTACTCAACAACCACGTAGAAAACTAAAGTATAAACTACATAAAAAACTAAAGTATAAATTGCATAGCACCATCAGTATACTTACTATACTCTACACTAAGCTGAGTTACTAACAGCAAGTAATACATTACAATTCTACGTCGTAGAAATTATATAATATGCTTCCATCTAAACTTTATTCTATTGTATCACACGAGCATATACCGTACTATATACTGCCAACATTAAATTATATACTGTATTGCTGTAAACCAACCTATACCTTATACATTTAATATAACACTATGTATTATTCTACCCACCCTAATGTGTGTCGAAATGGTTTATTACGTCCTTCCAATGATTGCTAAGCCAGAATCCATCTTCTCGGTTAAAATTGTCTCTGTGTTTGTATATGTGGATCGCCTCATGAACGAATCTCTCATGATAGCCAGATGGCTTGCAGAGAACCTCTGTCTTGGAGAAGTCAATATCATGTGAGCCCACTGAGTTGTAACAGTGATCTGCCACGGCTGAGGTGTTTGTCCTACCGTGTTTCAGGTCAGCTTTATGTTCACGGATGCGGTCCGAGACATGTCGTTTGGTTTCCCCAATGTAACTGCTACCACAGAGGAAACTTAGTTTGTAGACGCCAGGGTACTGTATGTCTGGAACCACATCTTTTACAGACGGTACCAGATCACGGATTTTATGTACTGTGTTGAATCGGACCTGGATCTTGTGTTTAATCAGGATTTTGGAGATCTTTTTTGTGACCCCAGCAATGTAGGGTAAGGTGATGGTCTTGAAAGGCTCCTCAACAGGATCCTTCTTGATGGTTGGAGTGATGGCTTTGCGGATTGTGTAGTCGGAGTAACCATTAGCCTTAAGAGCTTGGCGTACGTGTTTGAGTTCACTGGAAATGTGTTCATGGTCGGAGATGCATTGGGCTCTATGATATAGAGTCTTGATGAGGGAATTCTTCTGGGATGGATGGTGGTGGGAATCCGGTTTTAGATAAGCATCCGTGTGGGTGGCTTTCCTGTAGACAGAGTGGCTCATTGAACCATCAGGTCTCCTTTTGATTAGGACATCCAAAAAGGGTAGCTTGCCATCATTTTCGACTTCCATGGTGAATCTGATGGCTGGGTGTATGGAATTGATGTGGTCGAGAAATTGGTCTAGAGCAGGCCGGCCATGTGGCCAGATGACAAAAGTGTCGTCTACGTACCTCTTCCATAAGGTCGGGCGTAGAGTGGCAGTCTGGATGGCGTCCGTCTCAAATTTCTCCATGAAGATGTTGGCTACAACCGGAGATAGGGGGAGCCCATTGGGGTGCCCTCAATTTGCTTGTAGAAGGTTCCATTCCAGGTGAAGTATGTATTGGTTAAGCAGTGTCTCACCAGGGGGGGTACCCCAGCATTCAGTCCTTGATGAACCAAGTCTTCAATGATTGCGATGGTGTTCACCAAGGTGCCTGTGCCTGACACCATCGCAATCATTGAAGACTTGGTTCATCAAGGACTGAATGCTGGGGTACCCCCCCTGGTGAGACACTGCTTAACCAATACATACTTCACCTGGAATGGAACCTTCTACAAGCAAATTGAGGGCACCCCAATGGGCTCCCCCCTATCTCCGGTTGTAGCCAACATCTTCATGGAGAAATTTGAGACGGACGCCATCCAGACTGCCACTCTACGCCCGACCTTATGGAAGAGGTACGTAGACGACACTTTTGTCATCTGGCCACATGGCCGGCCTGCTCTAGACCAATTTCTCGACCACATCAATTCCATACACCCAGCCATCAGATTCACCATGGAAGTCGAAAATGATGGCAAGCTACCCTTTTTGGATGTCCTAATCAAAAGGAGACCTGATGGTTCAATGAGCCACTCTGTCTACAGGAAAGCCACCCACACGGATGCTTATCTAAAACCGGATTCCCACCACCATCCATCCCAGAAGAATTCCCTCATCAAGACTCTATATCATAGAGCCCAATGCATCTCCGACCATGAACACATTTCCAGTGAACTCAAACACGTACGCCAAGCTCTTAAGGCTAATGGTTACTCCGACTACACAATCCGCAAAGCCATCACTCCAACCATCAAGAAGGATCCTGTTGAGGAGCCTTTCAAGACCATCACCTTACCCTACATTGCTGGGGTCACAAAAAAGATCTCCAAAATCCTGATTAAACACAAGATCCAGGTCCGATTCAACACAGTACATAAAATCCGTGATCTGGTACCGTCTGTAAAAGATGTGGTTCCAGACATACAGTACCCTGGCGTCTACAAACTAAGTTTCCTCTGTGGTAGCAGTTACATTGGGGAAACCAAACGACATGTCTCGGACCGCATCCGTGAACATAAAGCTGACCTGAAACACGGTAGGACAAACACCTCAGCCGTGGAAGATCACTGTTACAACTCAGTGGGCTCACATGATATTGACTTCTCCAAGACAGAGGTTCTCTGCAAGCCATCTGGCTATCATGAGAGATTCGTTCATGAGGCGATCCACATATACAAACACAGAGACAATTTTAACCGAGAAGATGGATTCTGGCTTAGCAATCATTGGAAGGACGTAATAAACCATTTCGACACACATTAGGGTGGGTAGAATAATACATAGTGTTATATTAAATGTATAAGGTATAGGTTGGTTTACAGCAATACAGTATATAATTTAATGTTGGCAGTATATAGTACGGTATATGCTCGTGTGATACAATAGAATAAAGTTTAGATGGAAGCATATTATATAATTTCTACGACGTAGAATTGTAATGTATTACTTGCTGTTAGTAACTCAGCTTAGTGTAGAGTATAGTAAGTATACTGATGGTGCTATGCAATTTATACTTTAGTTTTTTATGTAGTTTATACTTTAGTTTTCTACGTGGTTGTTGAGTAACTGCAGCTACATATCATTAACATTCCTTTCCTTTGTTACTGCTAATCCCTGCACCCCCCCTTGGTGCCGTTGATCCTGCATAATGCATGGGCATAATATGACTTTGAACCCCCCCCGCCCACCTCCTACGCATTTTCCATGTATATGCTAAATTCCTCTTCATATGCACATTCTTTTGTTAAGGCGCTCTTTCTTCCACCTCCAACGCAGCTTATATATAAGCTCCTAGCTTGGCATTGTCTCATTCTTCACCTGAGGACGGCTGCTTGCGTTGTGGCCGAAACGTCGTGAGAATTGTTTTGTTATGTTTTATTTTTATTATTTTATTACTTCCATTCTACGTGACTTTACCGAAAGAACCAAGAAGATGAATCCCTGCAGTCACGAAAGCTTTAAATCGAAATGTGTGTGTGTACCCTGTGCGTGTACACTGTGTGTGTGTACACTGTGTGTTGGCACAGTCGGGGGTACAGATGGTGCATCGGCCAGTCAACTGAGTCAGTCGACCCATGGCACCTGGGTCTACCCCGTGCACATAGCCTGGCACAAGCGCCATGGTGACGTGACCGCCACTTAGTGGCGAATGGCGGTTGTTGTTATTGTAACTGTGTGTCCGGCAAAACAAGAGATGGCACCTCAGCCAGCCATCTCATTGAGTAGCCATTACCAGATCATCAGCAGATGAAACAGGGCTGACCAGCAGGGAATAATCCCTTAACTATAACCAGTCATCGATAAGCGTATTATTTTTAACCGCGACGAATGCAATTTATTTATACGGCCATTGTGAGCTTCTCAAACTACATAATTATTGAAGATGCTATGTAATGTGTAATAAACCCCGTTGAGACGACTTCGTGAATTGAGAATTCTTTATTCAGTTTCGTTCACAGCTTCCACCACATTCGTTCCTCCAGTTCCCTTGCTCCTTCACGCTGTTGGCTGACAGCGAGAGAGACTGCGGCGGCCCGCCACGTGGCAGGCTCCGGACCACGGCACCAGCGTAGCTTCTCTGCTCCTTTTAATCCCTGGCCCACGTGATGCCCCGCAGCCAATCCTCAGCCACACCCCTGGAACTTTCCCGAAGCTAATGTACGGCTCCAGGGCCATGCCCCTAACTCGACTCCCCATTGGTTGCGGGCTGAAGCCAGCAGAGCCAATCATCATCATCCAGGTGTAACCTAACATTACAAATTAAATGCATTGGGGCAGAGTGAATTTCTGTCACAAGCCGAGTTGAACAGGAAATGGTTCCAACTCCTGGTCACGCACCTTTAGATGGGCCTGCCCAAAATCATAAAAATCCTCAATGAATGTGAGCAGAGGCAGAGACATCGAAATCAAGGAACCCAAAGCACCAAGCCTCTTTATGGTACCATAGGCCTTAATTACATCAAGAAAGTAGGGATCTTGTTTCTGGTGAAAATCCGTATTCCTCTGCTGTACTCGATCGACAGAAAATACAGCCGCCCCTTGAATATCGGAGGTTACGTTCTTGGAAAGTTCTGCGAGACTGCTAAAAACGCGATATTCAATACTTAAGCCTTACCCAAGTAATGGCGTTAGGTAAACGTCAACTAAAATTTACATCACAATTGAAATACGTACTGCATTCCAAATCAACTAAAAACTAAACAATTGAAATAAACATTGGGAAACCGTGTCTCGTGCATTTGGTTACAGGTCTACCCAACACTTATGGTCACACATGCTGTCTGCTTCTACTCGACATTGTCCGAAAAGTCCTACAAAACTTTCACATCCACAAATGGCTGTGATTCGTCTCGGGCTCTATTAGCGGCCTGGAAGTCAAACCCTGGAGCCTTCACAGGTCACCTTCACGAATGGTGACGTTTCCCAGCTGCCATTTTTATTGGGTCCTTGAATCACAAACGATGGGCTTATGGAACTTCAAATTTCACACGTCAATTTCAGACCCTGCTCCTTGTAGACCTCCTTACGCGTGTTTCAGTTTCAAGACAATTCAAAATGCCTTCCAAGTGTACATTAAGTGGTTTTTAATGTGTTCCCTGGCAGTTGTCAAGATTTGATTACTGTGTAAATGCATTCCAAGACAGTGCAGTCGTTAGATTCCGTGGAGGCGAGTTCTGCTCTTGGTGACATCACAAGCCAGAGAGAGGGGGAGGCCCTGACGTAACCCACTCGTTAATTTGAGGTGACGTCTTCAGAGGGAGCGTCTACATATTTAAGTAAACATGTGGTAAACAAGGTGGGATATCAATGCAGACAGATATATCTAAAGTTTTATTTAAATAGAAGTTAAAATTCAATTAAACCTAGGCTAGAATACAAATCTGTAACAAAAATCCACGATGCCTTCAAATGTGCTCTTTAAAGTACCTCCTTGCGAAAAAACAGATCGGCAGACATCTTTCATTCAACGTTCTCTACACGAAACAAAGGAATGTTTTACACAAGCTATAAATACCACAGCCTTTTAGGAATGCATGTGTAATGGGTTCCGGAGACACTTGTAGAGGTATCTTCTTTATTACAATAAAACACTCCAACAGTCCTGATACTTTGTTACAGCCTAGGTACACAGCCTAGATACACTATTCTGGCTACGCTCTGGGGTCCTCCGGCTGCAATTACCCTAGGGGAGGCTAATTGACCCGACCCAGCCAAGGTGTGGGTCTGGACTCTGGCTTCCTCTGAACTCGCCCTTACAAGGACGTAGAGCCGGGAGTCCCAGAGTCCCACCACTGGCCCTCACAGCGTCCCGGCCTTTACAAGGACAAGCGGGACGAGGGGGTCCACGGTCCTAAGCTGGCTGGTCTTGGGTCTTGAGCTGCAACTGGCCCCGATCGGCCAGGGAGCTGCCCTTTTATGCCTCGTCCCCAACGAGGGGTGGGGTTGTGTGCGACCCCAGATATCCCACAGAGCACGCACAGCCCCCCCTTTGGTGGCGCCAAGGGGCTTAACTGTTTGGGGTGCCTGGGATCCTAGCGCCTGGCGCCGACGGTTTATCTGCCTAGGATCCCAGAGCCCCCAGCAGCCCCTCCCCTCTTATGGCACTACACATGTGTTCAGTACAAGCCACATGGACTGGTTTGGTGTACAATGTCTCAACAACAGTCCGGCTTGCTTCAACTGATGTTCATCGGCAAGATCCATTTCAAGTCTCAGTTCGACAAAATGTATACGTAATACAAAATAATTAGTGTTCTTGAAAATGTATCTCCTATACGTAACTTGTAAGTGGCATACCTTAACTGATGAATGATCTGACTATGCTCCCGATTTCAAAGACAATGAGTTGCCCCAGTCAGATGCGTCCTGATTCACAAAAATACCCGTTGACCCATATCACAAAAATAACAGCTCTCACGTGAGTTTTTGTACAGGTTACCACCAAAACAGATACTTTGTCCTGACATCACATATTCCATGTTTGACATTAATACACAACATGTTGTCTGTACGTACAAAATCAGACAGGTATTCTTTCAATAATGATTCAAAATAATCAAAGGGCACATTGGCAACATTGTATTACTATACCGAAATGTAGTGTCACGTTGCAATGTATTTACAAGTTGATCTCTGACTCGATGAGGCCTATACGTGCAGCACTCTCGTAGAGGGAAGCCAAGTAGTAGTACATTCTATATTTGTTGCAGAGGTTCAAGGTTCAAATCCGACTGGCATATCATCGCCCCCGACTTACAAACTCCTATCCACATGCAGGCCAGTGAACGGTCACCTTGTGGCACACAGGGGCAGATGCCCATTATGGGCACCCATCGAGTGTCTAAGATGAGATATGATACAAAACACTTGAGTCACTCCTGGTTAGAGATCGCCCCAACCCACAGGTTCACAAATACTGGCCACGCTTACACTGCAGTTTGAACCTAGAAATTGAGTGTTCAACTTCACATTATATTCATTAGAAAGGCCTGTGACAAAGGTGCATCCATTGGAGCTTGTCTCAAGCTTGCACATCTACCTGGTCTCCATTTGACTTTGTATTGTCTAAGAAGTCCACCCACACCTCCACATCCACAAACTCCTGGGAGTTGCCTCGCTCTGCCTCACAATCAGAATTTAGTTCCTGCTTCACATTGCCTCCATCTATGTGAAGGTCCGATTTTGGAGTTGAATCTTCAAATTTAACCTTCACTTCTACGCTCTTCAATGTTACTTCTTCACATTTCACTTTCACCTCTTCATATTTCACCTTGATACCTTTCAAAGTGTCCAGGCTGGGATTGTCTTCTGGTTCTTGTTTCATGAACAATGGGGTCATTGCAGCACTTTGACTTTCACAAGCTGATTTCAGATTACACTTCTTGTGGATTTTCTGATGCGTGTGTGTTCTCTGGTGTTTTTTAAGATTTGATGAATGTGCAAACGCTTTCCCACAAACACTGCACTTGAAGAGTTTATCTCCTGTGTGTGTTCTCTGGTGTGATTTAAGAATGAACGACCATGCAAACGCCTTCTCACACACAGTGCACTTGAAAGGTTTATCTCCTGTGTGTGTTCTCTGGTGTGATTTAAGAATGCATGACAGTGCAAACGCCTTCTCACACACAGTGCACTTGAAAGGTTTCTCTCCTGTGTGTGTTCTCTGGTGTGATTTAAGAATGCATGACCGTGCAAACGCCTTCTCACACACAGTGCACTTAAAAGGTTTCTCTCCTGTGTGTGTTCTCTGGTGTGATTTAAGAATGGATGACCGTGCAAACGCCTTCTCACACACAGTGCACTTGAAAGGTTTCTCTCCTGTGTGTGTTCTCTGATGTGATTTAAGAATTGATGACTTTGCAAACGCGTTCCCACACACACTGCACTTAAAAGGTTTCTCTCCTGTGTGTGTTCTTTGGTGGGTCTGAAGATATGACGACCATGAAAATGCCTTCTCACACACAGTGCACTTGAAGGGTTTCTCTCCTGTGTGTGTTCTCTGGTGTCTTTGAAGATGTGATGACTGTGCAAACGCCTTCTCACACACAGTGCACTTGAAAGGTTTCTTTCCTGTGTGTGTTCTCTGGTGTCTTTGAAGATGTGGTGACCGTGCAAACGCCTTCTCACACACAGTGCACTTGAAAGGTTTCTTTCCTGTGTGTGTTCTCTGGTGTTGTTTAAAAGTAGATGAATCAAAAAATGCCTTCCCACACAAACTGCACTTGAAGAGCTTATCTCCTGTGTGTGTTCTCTGGTGGGTTTGAAGATTTGATGACTTTGCAAACACCTTCCCACACAGAGTGCACTTAAAAGGTTTATCTCCTGTGTGTGTTCTCTGGTGGGTCTGAAGATATGATGACAATGAAAATGCCTTCTCACACACAGTGCACTTGAAAGGTTTATCTCCTGTGTGTGTTCTCTGGTGTGATTTAAGAATGAACGACCATGCAAACGCCTTCTCACACACAGTGCACTTGAAATGTTTATCTCCTGTGTGTGTTCTCTGGTGTGATTTAAGAATGCATGACAGTGCAAACGCCTTGTCACACACAGTGCACTTGAAAGGTTTCTCTCCTGTGTGTGTTCTCTGGTGTGATTTAAGAATGCATGACCGTGCAAACGCCTTCTCACACACAGTGCACTTAAAAGGTTTCTCTCCTGTGTGTGTTCTCTGGTGTGATTTAAGAATGGATGACCGTGCAAACGCCTTCTCACACACAGTGCACTTGAAAGGTTTCTCTCCTGTGTGTGTTCTCTGATGTGATTTAAGAACTGATGACTTTGCAAACGCCTTCCCACACACACTGCACTTAAAAGGTTTCTCTCCTGTGTGTGTTCTTTGGTGGGTCTGAAGATATGACGACCATGAAAATGCCTTCTCACACACAGTGCACTTGAAGGGTTTCTCTCCTGTGTGTGTTCTCTGGTGTTTTTGAAGATGTGATGACTGTGCAAACGCCTTCTCACACACAGTGCACTTGAAAGGTTTCTTTCCTGTGTGTGTTCTCTGGTGGGTCTTAAGAATTGATGACTTTGCAAACGCCTTCCCACACAGAGCGCACTTAAAAGGTTTATCTCCTGTGTGTGTTCTGTGGTGTTGTTTAAGAGTAGATGAATCTGAAAATGCATTCCCACACACACAGCACTCTAAGGGTTTCTCTCCTGTGTGTGTTCTCTGGTGCTGTGTCAAGTTTCCAGTACGATCCGTGCTGTTTGCATGCTGGTCGCATTGTTTCCTTCTTGTACTGAACTGCGCTGAGTGCCTTTGCTCCATCAGGCCAATTCTGCAGAGAGAGAGCGTCAGCTGCAAACAGAAAAGCATGTCCACACCATCTATGTGAGTATTGAGGCACAGAGGAATGCATATATACACAGTCACACATGACTTACACATCTATACATATTCATATTTTCATGATATAGTGAAAGAGATTCCCCAATTCATCACACGGGCTGTTAAGGCACACAATGCGAGGGCAAATGGTCATAAATATGCCTGGACACCCTAGTGTCTTCAAAATTAATTTTTACCAAAAACTCCAAGCACACAATTTCGGTTGTCTAGCTACGACAGGAATATTTAAGAAAAAAATGGTTAACCTAGCAAAGGCTTTTGAAAAGAATACTATTTGAATTATGCAGAAATGTATAAATTAATGTTCATTTGCAACTTAGAGGTGTGAAGCCAGGCTCAGATTAGCTTGAATGCGAGGATGAACAGATTTAACTTCAGCTGCATATGTGCTGTGTTAATTTCCTCACTGTTTCCATTCTTATGAAAATTTCCAAAGCAAAACTAAAATAAACTATATTTATGATTTAACCTCCATGTTCAATCGAGTCAATATACTTGACAGCAAATACAAACTTCACATGTTCATACACTTGCATGGTAAAAAGGTGGTTAAATTTTGACTTAAAACTTTCGTGACTGCAGGAATTAATATTCTTTGGTTATTTCGGTAAAGTCACGTAGATAGAAAATAATAATACAAATAAACTGAATAGAAGAAAAAAAACGACTAATGTAGACTGTAGCCTGGTTCTTAACCTCGGTGAGCGCAGAGGCGTAGCTAGGATATTTTGCGCCCGGGGACGAACTATAAAATTGGCGCCCCCTCCCCCCCCGTTTAATCACATTTTCCTATTACATCGAATAAGGAATAACAATTTTAATGAAACATTGTATATAAAGAAGCAAATTTATAGAAATTATATTACATGGCTCACTCAGTCACTGTCGTAGACTGGTTGACATAGTCTACAAAAGATTATTTTTTCTTGATTTCACTGTCGCAAACTGGTCAATCACGTAATCAAAATATGTTTTTTCCAATGTTTTTCTTTCAACGCTAAGAAGAGCAAGATCGCTGAGACGATCTTGTCCCATTGAAGCACGCAAATACGACAAAATAAGTTTCAATTTGCTGAACGACCGCTCACAGCTTGCAATTGAAACTGCTACTGTTAATAAAATTTGCAGTGAAATTCGCAAATTCGGAAATATGTCGTCTCCATAAAACACAATAAAACCAAGAAGATCCAAAGGAGTTTCTGGTAGAACTTAATTCCGGTTACCGAGCAGCATTTTGCAATCTCCAAATTCTGTGAAAAGTTCGTGGCCATTGATGTCGGTGTTATAGAAATTTCCAAAATCTGTGCAATTTCGACGAATTGCATCGACATCTGTGCCAGTTCTCCCGGCATCTTCTGACGTCACCTAATTATTCTGTCCACATCGATCCCCCAGGCTGTGCATCTTGTTTTGGCGTTTTTTACAGCAACTTGGCTCAAATCATCACGAAGCTGGACAAATTCATGCTCCAAAGATTCAAGATCAGTTGCTGCTTCCTTGAAATTCATAGTAGGACCCTGTAAGCGCTTCTGAACACGATACATTTTTCCAAGAATGACATTCCAGAAATGTAATAAAACTATGAAGTAAAAATTTAATACGCATGCCTGTAACTGTTCTGCATCACTTCTGGTTTCAGGCGTCATAGTTACGTCCTCCGACAATTTGTCTAGCAGCCCTACTAGTTCATCCATTCCTTCATAGAGAGCTTTAACAGCTTCTGATCGTGCACTCCAGCGTGTTTCAGACTCCCGCTTTACTGTGATGGGCACAGCTTTTTTTAACTCTTCCCAACGAATTGTTGAACGAGAGAAAAATATATACTTTCAACTGTTCCAAAAAACGTGACGACAAGTGGATCCTGTTTAGCTGAGTGTACTCCTGCTAAGTTTAAGCTGTGGTTGTCACAGTTGACAAACAATGCTCTGTGATTTTTGTCACATATTCGTTGTTGAAGGCCGGATATATGCCCAGTCATCACAGCAGCATTGTGATAACATTGTGCCCGACAGTCGGCTAGAGGTATGTTGTCAAATTTCAGTATCTCGACGATGACTCTTTCCAGGCTTGCTGCATCTTTTGCATGTATCTCGATATAACCTAAAAATGATTTTTTGATAGTTACTTTTTTAGTTTGAAAATCCACATCCACAAATCTTATGACCTGAGAAAATGTAATTACATGCAATGTAGGCTGTGTGTGGCGGGACATATAAACTTTTAGGTTGAGGTGTAGATTTGCGCAGTAGTTTCAGGCTGCCGCGCCCGCCGCAATAAGTGATAATGTAACGTTGTAAGCCTCATTTTGGCGCCTCTTTACCTTGGCGCCCGGGGACATATGTACCCCCCTGCCCCCCCCTAGCTACGCCTCTGGGTGAGCGTACTGGCAGTCTATAATGTAGACTGTAGCCTGGTTCTTAACCTCGGTGAGTGTATTGGCAGTCTATAATGTAGACTATTGCCTGTTTTTTGACGAGACCTTTGCAATGGACTAGACCTTGGCGATGGACACTCACAGCTTTGAACGTAAAAAAAGTCCAGGCAGCTTCCACATAGTGTTACAGAGCCTAATGAAAGAATGCTGCTAGACCAATTTGAAGTGAGACTTTGGATACCAAACCAAAGCTGGTCATGAACACATTAACTAGTTATAGGAGCTCCTCCACCACGTGTAGAACGACCTGATTATTCATGGAGAGCTGAGCAGGTGCAGTGCTGTATGACATTAAATTCCCAGGGAGGTGTTCTTTGGGTCTTTCGGTAAAGTCACGTCACTTAACCGAAAGACCCAAAGAATATTAATTCCTGCAGTTACGAAAGCTTTAAGTCAAGATTTTCCCAGGGAGGTGATCTTTTTGTAGAACATATGCAAGGCCCCATTTCGTCATGGAATTCTCCAGGTACAGAACACGATTCTCCAACTCAATATAATTGAGTAGCCATGACCAGATCATCAACATGCGTAACATGGTTGACCAGCAGGGGAAAATCCCTTGACTATAACCAGACATTGATTAGCGTATCATTGTTACTGTATCAAATGCATTTTTTTATAGGGTCGTTGTGAGCTTCTCAAAACACAACTATATGAAAATGCTACGTAATGTAATGCATGCGGCTAGAGGGAATTTCGGCCACAAGCCAAATTGAACAGGAAAGGGATCCGACTCCTGGTCACGCAACTTTAGATGGGCCAGCCAAAAATCATAAAAATCCTCAACGATTGTGAGAAGAGGCAGAAACATCGAAAACCAAAAACAAACCAAAACCCCAAGCATCTTTATGGTACTATAGGCTGTAATTACACCAAGAAAGCAGAGATCTAGTTTGTGCTGAAAATCCGTACTCCTGTACTATAGCTGATGGACAAAAAATACAGCAGCCCCTTGAATAGCGTGGAGGTTACATTCTTGGAAAGTGCCGTGCGAAAGCTAAAATGCCGATATTTAACATTTAAGCCTGACCTAAATAATGGGGTTAGGTAAACGGCATATAAAATATACATTACAATTGAAATAAGTACTGTACTGTATTCCCAATAAACTAAATTACTGAAATAAATGTGGAGAAACCGTATACAAAACATTCCAAGATGAGTTTAAATGTATATAAATAAAGCAGACTTTGTGTTTTTTTGAGAACCAAATTGCGCCAACACTATGAAACAAACACACATAAAAAATTCCATGCGTACTCAAGGGTAAGTTATGTTTTTCACACAATTTTTAGCTTACCTGTTCACCATCAACACCTGTAACACCTGCACACTCCAACACCCCGCCGCTGCTATATTTTTTCTCATTTACCACATTATCCTTACATATTATCAGGCCTGCATTTTTGCCACAAAATTAATTAACTTCCAGGTCCTTATTGTCCTCTCTGCACACGCACGGCTCACCTATAATATACTGTAATATTTCATCATGGAACCTTTTCCAGTACTAAAATATGAGAATAGGTTTTCCCCGTTTTTCTGGCAACAAAACAGGTGTTAAGATGTTAAAACACCAAACTGAAACCTTTAACAAGGAATCATGTGTGCATTAACCACAATACTTGTGGTCAGAATGCAAACAAAAACACTCTGATAGAAAATGCATGGTCTGCTGCTGAGGCAGACTGTTTTAGAAGGTTTGAAATGGGTGTAGCCCAAGGATCATAAAGAAGTGGCCGGGGCAAGTGATGTTAACGTAATAAATTAGCATGTTAATGTGAAATCGAAAAGTGGTGCAATCCAAAGCGGCCTCCCTACAAGACAGAGAAGGAGCGAGGCTCTACTTGGGTAAACAACAACTACCACCACGACAACGATGTGAACTTCTCACTTCGGATCTCAGTGAGCACGCATGAAAATAAATCACGCTTGCCAACACAGAGCGCACGCCTGGGATACACTGCCGAGTTCATAGATGACCTCGCCACCGAGAAAGTTCAGCATTATCTTATTCTTAGGTGTTTTCGGTAAAGTCACGTAGGTAAAACATCAAAATTAATAAAATAATAAAATTAAAATAAAGATCACGACGTTTCGGAGGCAACACAAGTCTCCGTCATCAGGTGGGACAGTCACAGCCAGATCAGCTGCATCAAGTGAGGCAATGATTCAAGATGTAATCCCTTAAAAGCGAGTTGAGGGGGGAGGAGAGGGGGAGGGGCTCATCAGAATGTGGTAGCCAATGAATGGAAAGTATCGGGAGAGAAGGGCCAAAAAAAGGGGGTGGGCGACGGCCCTTCTCTCCCGATACTTTCCATTCATTGGCTACCACATTCTGATGAGCCCCTCCCCCTCTCCTCCCCCCTCAACTCGCTTTTAAGGGATTACATCTTGAATCATTGCCTCACTTGATGCAGCTGATCTGGCTGTGACTGTCCCACCTGATGACGGAGACTTGTTTTGCCTCCGAAACGTCGTGATCTTTATTTAAAATGTATTATTTTATTAATTTAGATGTTTTACCTACGTGACTTTACCGAAAACACCTAAGAATATGATTCCTTGCAGTCACGAAAGCTTCAAGTCTAGAATTTCAGCATTATCTGACAAGCACAACGGGGTGGCAGCCAGATGCGAACTGCCCATATCCCCCATTTAACACCCTTGCCGAGCACGCGCACATGTGTGTGTGAGAGATTTGCTCGCGATCGTGCGGAATTCCGACGGCTGGGACGGGATAGAACCATTGCAAGTCTTCTTCCAGAGGAGGAGGTGAGGGGGGGGGACGAGGGAGCCTCCGGGACCCCGTGAGACAACCCCAGGATGGGTGGCAGGGATAGAGACCGGCATAGGAGAAATCACAGGCCATGCGACCCAAGTACGCGAGGAGGTAACCCAAGTACACCTGAATGTGACCAAATTGCAGTCCACAGCGGAGATAGTCCAATCCGAGGTAGGAGGGCTACGCTCCATGGTCGGGGAGCTAACCAGGCGAGTATCTCAATAAGAGGCAGAACTCGAACAAATGCGCACTTGGGAGGGTAAGGGGAAGTAGGCAAGGGGCCTCTTATGGAGCAACCGCCCTTCCCCGTGCGTGCTATCTATGCGACCAATGGGGGCATCTCGTGAGAGACAGTTCCCAGATCGCCCGCGCGAGAGAAGCACCAGGGTTAAACACCAAGGCCTCCCTAAAGAGGGGACCACAGAGGGGTGCAATCCACGTGGTCCCAACACAAATAAACTGTCATGATAATGGTGACGAGTGACCCCCACGCAGATGCCGACAACAGCACCCCAGAATGCGGCGACTGCGGGTGACTGGCTGTGGGAGCTGGTGGCAGGAATAATGGGGGCCACGTCTCTCGTGGAAGGGCAGGTGAACAGGCGGCGTACCCAGATTCTGCTGGACACAGGGGGCGGCGGTAACGTCACTCGTGAGTGCAACACACTGCAGCGTGGTCGGGGTTGACGTGAGCCGCCTACAGGCCCCGGATCGTGCGCTGCACACTGCAAGTGGAAGTGGGATGGGACTGCTGGGGAGGGTCACCCTTAAGGGTCGCCTCGGACACCAGGTGTGTAACCAGGAGTTATACGTGTCGAGCGTGTTATGCCACGAGTGTATGGCAGGTACCGACCTCCTGGAAAAGTTGGGGCTCAGCTTGTAGCCCCGCTGGCGATGCGCCCCCGTGGAGGGCAGCGGATTCCTTTCTTGGGACAAGAGCCGGGTTTGCCCTCGCTTCGAGCCTGTGGCCGCTATCCTGGCGTCGGCCGTCACCGTCGGCATTGGTGTTCCACTGGGTTTGCCGTTTTTCTCCCAAACCTAAACTCAAAATATAGTTGGTGGTTGTCAAACAGTCCAATGCAGGACCCTCCTGAAACATAATCTTTAACTGCTAAATAAGAAATTTAATTGGAAAACCCTCAAACACAGTACGCTATTTTTATTTTACCAGGTGAGGCCCACTGAGTTGCATAGTTCTTTTTCAGAATGGACCTGGACACAAATGATAGCTCAACTTAGTGGCTTATAATATGGAAATGTTTTGCAGCCAAATTCTCAAAATGCATGTTTCTAAATGTGGAGAAAAATCAATGCCACTACAGGGAGAGAAAGAAAAGAAAAAAAAATTAAACTCTAATTATAAATGCGTCAGTGTTGGACTCGAACCCACGACATCCTACATACCATGTGAGGTAGTTAACATCTCGCCACCACAGCACAATACATCACACACACACATTACAATGAACACACTGACTCCCTCTCCCTGTACACACTCTACACGCGTGACTCACTCTCAAGCACTCGCCCCAAGCGCACCTCTCAGCTGCTGTCCCCAACTCCTCTCTCCGGTCTGCTCTTGGTGACGTCACCCGCCAGACAGAAGGGGGGGAGCCGACTCTGAGGGTGACGTCACCGCACAACACGGCCGCTCCCCACACAACACACACGGGGTACACTCACACACAGTAAAGTACTCTCACACAGAGTACTCTAATACAGAGTAAACACACGGAGTACACTCGCACACACGGGGTAATCTCACACACGCAGAGTACACTCACGCACGTAGTTTACGCTTGCGGAGTACACTAACACAAATGAGTACACTCACTCACAGTATTTGTTTTTCTTAGGGTCCTTCGATTTTTTCCCTCCACATTTAGTAACATGCATTTAGATTATTTGGCTGCTACAATCTGCCACGTGAAAAGCCATTTCGTTGATCTATCATATATGGCCAAGTGGCTTCTGACAAAAGATCTAACAGCTCTGTGAGCCTTGGTTGGTAATATAAAAATAGTTTACACCATTTGCCAGTAAAAAATATAATTGTTTTTTTAACCCTTTTATCTGGCAACAAAACTGACACCTTTTTTACGAGGAGTCATGTTTGCATAGACCACAATACCTGCAGTCATAATGCAAACAAAAAACATAACTCTGATAATGTATGCTCTGTCCTTAAAGTAGATTGGTCCACACCCGAGACAGCTTTCCTTAGAGCCTAGTCTCACATGGTGTTGGACCAGATGACGCCAAAAGGCGCACAACTCAAAGACAATGCACCATCAGAGAGAGATACTAGGCTCTAAGGAAAGCGGTCTCAGGTGTGGACCAATCAACTTAAAGGACAGTGCATACATTATCAGAGTTATGTTTTTGGTTTGCATTAGGACTGCAGGTATTGTGGTGTATGCAAACATGACTTCTCGTAAAAAAAAAGGTGTCAGTTTTGTTGCCAGATAAAAGGGTAAAAAACCAATTATCATAAAAATAGTTGTCCATCGGTCTAAAGGGTGCATCAGCAAAACCAACTCGGCAGAACGCTCCCGAATTAGAGTGCTGAGACTCATTGTGGTCATGTACTCGAGTGTGCACCATGGTGGCCTGGGAGATGTTAACTGCCTCTCCTGGAATACAGGTGGTGGGTTCGATCCCGACCCCTCCTGTATATTTGGAGTTTGCGTGTCTCTCTCTCTCCCCGTGGTCGCGTGGATTTTCCTCCGGATCCTCAGGGTTTTCCCCTCCACATTAAGAGTCAACATCACCACGCGTTTAGAGTATTTGACCGACAGACCTTTCCACACGTTGATAAGCCACTTTGTTGTGGGCTGGTCGCTTCTGAAAACAAGAGCGGTATAGCAGCTGAAGTGGGCTTGGCCTGGTAGAATAATAAAAAAACTGTAGAAATACTTAAAAGAAACAAAGTTTCAAAGTAGTGAGCCAGATGAAGACAAATTAAACTTAAGCAGATAATTAAAGCAAATGCAATCAGGCGAGGGCAGGAGGCAAGGCCCCGCATGGCTAGGCCCCGCGTTGTAATGTTCCAACCTGGACATCGATTCCATACTCGCTGCTACTCAATTGATATCCTTACGAGAGGAGCGAGGCTCTACCTGGGTAAACAACAACAACCACCACAACAACAACAACCACGATGTGAACTTCTCACCTCGGATCTCAGTGAGCGCGCGCGCGGATCGGCAGCTTCCTGGTGTCTCGTGACGTCACGCGGCAGCAGGAGGTGACATGACGTCACTAGCGGGGTTCACCTCCCCCTCACGCCGATGAGGTAATGCAGTGGTGACGTCAGAGAGCGGGGTTAGAGTTTAGTTCATTAAGATTCCTATTCCATTGATCCCTCTATTGAACATTGACCCTTTGGGTGCGTGCGCTCAACAACGTGAACATTGTGTGTACAAACTGTGTATACAGTGTGTGTGGGACCGTCCATAAATAACGTCACGCAACTGGGGAGGGGACGGTCAGACATTTGTGACGAAGATGTGACGATGGGGGGGGGGGGGTATAAATGTGACGTCACATCAAAATGCGCAACTTAAATATAGACAACACGTTCTACTTAATTTAACACGTAGCAGGCTTTCGCGACCAATATTATTCATAATATAGGTTTTTGGGTCAGATCGCGTTATTCATAACCAATCTGTACATGGAGAACTTTGAAACAAGAGCACTTGCCTCGAGTACATTAAAACCATCCTTTTGGTTTAAATATGTTGATGACACTTTGGTTGTCTGGCCACATGGTAAAGACGCACTTAATGATTTTCTAAATCATCTCAATGCACAAAACCCGGCTATCCAGTTCACCATGGAAATGCAGGTAAATAACAGACTCCCGTTCCTAGATATTTTGCTGGGACATGGTCTTAATGGCAAAATAACACAGCGTTTACCGAAAGCAAACGCACACTGATGCCTATCTGAATGCAGATTCACATCACCCAGCTCAGAAATCCTCTCTTGTCAAAACACTCATACATCGGGCTAAAACAGTGTTAGATGGCGAGAGTCTAGTGAGAGAGATGAAACATGTTAAAGAAGCACTAAGACAGAATTGCTACAATAATGCTCAAATTAACAGAGCACTGAAGGCCAAATCACGAACGCAAAGCAACACTGCTGAAAGCGATAAGATTGTTCAAACAATCAAAATACCATACATCTCAGGAGTAACTGACAAATTAGCCCAGGTTTTGCAAAAAAAAACATTAAAGTGAGATTTGGTACAGTGCACAAAGTCAAAAACAGGTATTTGGCACTAAAGACGAATTGCCTAAATTATCAATAGAAGGTGTATATCCGATTATTTGTTTGTGGCAGATGCTATATTGGACAGACGGGACATAACATCAGCGTAAAATTAAAAGAACAACAAAAAAATATTAAATTATGCCAAACACAACTGTCGGCAGTGGCAGAGCATGCTTGTCAACAAGGACACTCAATTGATTTTGATAACGTTGAAGTGTTGTGTAAAACTAATTATTACTGGCCAAGACTAATTAGAGAATCCATTGAAATTGAGAGAAACAGAAATAACTTAAATCGCTCTGACAGTGTTGTATGTGTTGGGTTATGAAATTTTGATAAAAATAATAAAAATTATTAATTTTCCGAAAAATGCGCAAATCGCATTAATTATGATAGTGTGTGTATTAGCATGCATAAATTATGATAATGCGTGTAATTATATGCATACATTATGATAATCGTAGAGATAATCGTAGTAATTTATGCAGATGCTTGCGATTATGTTAATGTGAGCAGTTGTGATAATTAGGCTTGGTTTCGTTTATCCAGGGTTATATCAATCAGGATAACACGATTATCATCGATTAAACGTTTACCGATTATCTTAGTGTGTTTGTTATTTTTAGGTCTCCAGGTTCAGATCTCATCACAGGATACAGTTATCAAGAATAAGATAGTTTTGCATGGACTTGGAAAGAAGCACTCGAACAGTTGGTGTTAAGCAATTTTAATTCTAAACAAGCACATGACACTCTCTTATGCGAAAGCAGGTATACGTCAGTAAATTCATGGGCAAAATTATGCAATTAACGAAATTGAATGACTAAAAATACTTCTTCATTGGCGAAATTATGCAGTTAACGAAAATGAATGACTAAACATTTCTTATTCATGTAACTCGACGGCAGCAACTGCTTTGCACGATCAGTTGATATTGAACGCACCACCTCGAAATGGCAACCCTTTTTGAAACGCAAAGACAGTTTTTCTTTTAAAGTCTTATTCGTGTGCGTGCTGTGTGTGCATTGTCCCCTTGTAATATTAATTAATTCTTAGAGTCGGGAGTTGTGTCGTTAGCTTGTGTGGTGTGGGAGGATACGAACAGCGGCCAGCTTCCTCTGGGTGGGGCGTGGCCGCATCGAGTCGTGCTGCTCCCTCGCTCGGCGTGTCGCTCGGCTTTTGCTCTCTCTCTCTCTCCACTGCTCGATGACGAGTTGGCACGATGCTGTCCTTGAAGATGCTCGGTCGCTCGTGTCGCTCGGTGTCGCTCGGTGGCGCACGGTGGCGCCCGGTGGCGCACGGTGGCGCACGGTGTCGCTCGGTGGCGCACGGTGGCGCCCGGTGGCGCCCGGTGGCGCACGGTGGCGCCCGGTGGCGCCCGGTGGCGCACGGTGGCGCACGCTTGGCGATCTCCACCTTTCCTGCTGGTTGTTCGCTGGTCGTCACTCTGACGAGTAGCGATGCTTCGTTCGTGGCAGGGTGGACGTTGGCGTCTTTGTTGGCTTCACTCGCAACTCGGCGACTCAGGGTAGCGATTCTTCTCAGGTGGTGCAGACCTCGGCTTGTAGCGGCCAGCTTCCTCTGCAAACCTCGTCATTCTGGATGACGAAAACTTCTTGACGATTTCTGGTGGGCCCGTGGCCCGGACGATGTGGGGCTCAGAGCCCCTGGCGATCTGAGTTGAATGGATTTTTCCCCGGCTTATATTCAGAAAATCCACTCAATCTTCCCGAGTTGTTTGAAGGCCGTCATATATCTTTCTGTGGGTTGAACACATCTGCGTTCGTGTGTTTCGTGTGTCGTGTGAAGACACAGCTGTGTAACCCTTCTGGGAGGAGGGGTGTGGAATATTATTTGCTTGCGTGTGCAAATCTTGCTGTTTGTGCTCAAAACGTGATCACCCTCTTCTTTCTTTTGCGAGAGAAAAACAAACTAAAACAGAGCGAGAATAAGCAGACATCACCGCGTCCCCTCCTCGCGACCTTCCTAACCCTCCAAGTATTCATGGGCCATCTGTTTGTGCTGCGGGGAGACAAAGGTGGCCGTGCTTAACTCAAACACGCGAGCACCCACTCCTCTCTCCGCGTCTCTTGCGAGAGAAAACAACCAATGTCAGCACAAACCCCCCCCTTTGTGACCTTTTTGCTCCCTCCTTGCTTGTCAGACCCCGCAGGAAGACAAAGGTGGCTGAGGAGATGTTTGCAATACATTTATGTGGTCCTGTGTGTTACATTTATTCTTGAATTATATTTTATGAGTTCCTTCGGTCTTAGTATCGTGGTTATCATTCTTCTATGTTTAATGAATATTCGTAATGCTCCTCGTCACATTATTACCTTGGGGCTTCGCCCAGTTTAGTTCTCCAGAGATTGGTGTTTTATTCTGAGTTAATTTTTTAATGTCCTGAGGTTAAGTGCACATGCACTTAAGCTTTCTGGAATTCGTACTCTTTAGTTTTTCGGAAGGTCGTGTAGATAGGAAACATATACTTCTAAATAATATGTATGCGGTGAATATAAGGGAATTACTAATAATAAAATTATTGTTTGTTGGTTAATTATCTATGTTAAGTTTCTACTTTTCGGTAAGGAAAACGTTAAGAAAACGCGAGTTTCAACCGTTTTTTGCTCTGCACCTTATCTGTGCATCTCCAGATGTCTTTGGGAGGTTAGTCCATACATCTTTTGTCCATCTGGATGTCTATGACCTCTCTGTCACCGACTTCTTACCAGTTTAATGGCCGTTTCACAGATTCCTAGTGTATTTGTAGTGGGTTGTTTTCATTATTTAATTAAAAGGTATATATAGATATAATAAAAAGAGAAATAGTTTTTTTTTCTTAATTATTCTTAATATTAATAACGG